CTCAAGCTGCACTGACCCTCCATTTATTTCAGCTTATATACATAAAACAAAACAAAACAAAACAAAAAAACTGGCTCCAACTCATGGCGACCCCAAGTGTGTCAGAGTAGAACTACACTTCATGGAGTTATCAATGGCTGATTTTTCAGAAGCAGATCTCCAGGCCATGCTTCTGAGGCACCTTTGGGTAGATTCAAACCACCAACCTTTCAGTTAGCAGCCGAGCTGATTAACCATTTGTACCACCAGGGACTCCTATTTTGACTCAGTAGCGGTTAATGTCCTAGCTGCCTACAAATGCGTCCTTCACTTGCTCCTCAAGCCTCCTTGGCTCCTAACTTTAGTAAAGATTTTACGTACTGGAGACCTCTTACTCCTATTTCTGGTGGCACTTCCCTCCCTACTCCGAGCTGTGCTGGTTCCCAGGACTGGACTTCTTGATTCTTTGACTTCCTTTTGCAAATTCCCTTCCCTGGATACTTCACTCCTGCCCCAGACCTGCATTCCATGTCAGGTTTCTGCTGCTTTATGAAGCAAGCTCCTTGAGGATGACAGTGTGCCTGACTCCTGAGCACTGTCCCCCATGGAGTCCTTGATGTTTTTCCCAGGCCCTGGATCTGCCTGGGAAAGCCTAGTGCTTGCTTTTGCTAAATTGGATACTTTATGAATTCATTTAACCCTGCCTCCCTGGGCTACCCCTCCCTCCAACCAGCTTCCCATTTAAGAAGGTTTAACATGCCAGGTCTCAGCAGCTCTCTCCTGGCCTGGTCTTTGTTTGGAAGAATTCTTATCCTAGTGGTTTACCCTGAATTTTAAGATAGAAACTGTTGCGTTCCTTTTACTCCTACAAGCAATTGCTTTTTAAAATATTGTGTATGGTTCTTTGGACTTCATTGCAAATTAACTATTTCGCTCCAGATATCATTAACTTATAAAATTCTTTACCGGGTTAATTTCAACACAAAATGTCCTGCAAAGATTGACCAATGAAAAACTATTCAGGTTAGATAATCTGGTATTATTTTGGGGCTGGGAGGATTTTGAGAATTATGTAATAAAAAAAAAAAGCTGCAAATCTCAAACAAATGGATTAAAATTTTTAATTATTTTTATAAAATTACCATGAGTAAATAATTTAATTGGAGTATAAGATTTCAAAAAGAAATTGGTAGAGTAAAATTAATTTTGGAGTACATGTAAGCCATACACCATGGACATTTTTTGTGATTCTTTTGAAGACTGAGGTGGGCAGGTTTCAGAGTTGGTGCTATAAATGAGGACTACTTTGACTATTATTGGTTTTACCATTAATATTTTGTCCTACATGCAAAAATTATGTAAAATCAGACCATAGGCATTCAAAGTGAAAAACGTTTTGATAAAGTAAGCCTTGTTCATAACTTTTTGAATACTATCTCTTATTTGTTGAAACCATATAAATCATGATGACTTTGTTAAGATCATTAAAAGCATTAACAGAAACTCTCAATGAGAGCAAGATAAAACAATTTGTGTCATGTATAAAACGTAAGTGAAAAAGAACTGTTCACTCTTTTCCTTCCTCTTCCTCACCAAAAAAAGCCATGAAACCTCAGTGTAAGCAGTTTACTTTGAGAAAATAAGGTTGGGGAAAGAGTCTGAAAAAGGAGTCTGAGAATCACCCATTTATTTCTAACTATTATTTTGGGAAAAGATCTATTTAATTTTTCCTTCTGAAATTAGAAATCACAATGCCTGCCTCAACGTTTGTTGTAAGAAAGAAACAAGACAAAGAACAGGAATGTGCTTTGCAAACAATAAGTCATAGATGCACAGGAGCATTTATACAGAGAAGGCGGACACTGAGCTCAGACTCGGATTCCTTCAGTGTAAGCTTGGCAGCCAAGCAGACATCTCTGAGTCTCAGGTTTCACTTTGAAACTGCAATTGTTCTGAGTGACTTCCTTCCAATTCTAGACTTCCCTCATTTCTAGATTCCTCCATAGTTTTATATAAACAGCTATCTTTTCAGAACTCGCCAAATTTACCTGCTGAATTTATAAAATTATTGAGAAATGTATCAGATTTGTCTTATTTTTTTCCCAACTGAAACAGAATTATTTCCTGATAAAAATTTTATACAGTAAAAATAATTGAGTAGAAATCATCTTAGGCACCTGCCTGAAGCACCCTCCATCCCCACCTTTTTTGTATTGTTTTCATTTTTAATTTTTTTGCTTTATGAAGTCCATCTTTTGCAGGAGAACGCTTCTGGGCTCTAATAAGATGAATAAGTCATAACTGCAAATTCTAGTAAAGGTACTTGCTACTTATAAAGAAACAGGCAGAATTGAAGCAAGATAGCACTATGATAGACATTTGAACATGTTTAACATAATTTCACCAATTTCATCATGTAAATGTGCATTTCAGAAGTGTATGCTCTTTTCCAATAAAAATTTAATCAGACTCAATTTGCATTTAAATGGGAAAGAGTGCATGTCGGTGTTGAGAAACTATGGGGTTGTGCGTGGCAGGGTGGAGGGATTCAGGCAGATTGGCTTCAGATTCTACTATTGAGAGACATTTTGAAAAAGGCTAAGTTGAACTGTGTACATATTTGAGTTTAAACTTTCTAAGATTTCTCAGCTTGACTGGAGATCACTGTAGAAAAGAAAAGAAAAATGTCTTCAATGTATATAAATGCCACACTGGGTGTCTCCTCACCGATTTTATTTGATGGCTTCCAACGGCTAAAGGAGATTTCATTATCAAGTAGTTGTTTATCAGCAAATGTGCCTAAAAATAATTTTGAAAAATCTTTGTAGGGAAGCACATTCTCTTTTTTAGGTCCAGATGTTTTCATAGGATGACATGGAGTCTGGTTAAATTCCCCGTGCAGAAGTAAATCATGTTTTGCTGCAATATCTGCAAAATGAAATATGGTTATCGTCACTGTCTATGTAAAAACAAATGAAAGTTATGGGTAATTTTTAACAAAGTGAATTGTACAAAGCACAATTTATATTTTTATATTTGGCTTTGCTATAAGGCAATATAGAAAACTCATGTAAGGACACACACTCTTCTCTGTGCCTCATTCTTCTTAATTTCTGAGCTCAGCCCATAATATCAGTAATCCCCTATTGAAACAGCCTCACAATTTCCCCCAAAATCTGCTAGGGAAACATCTATTACCAAAAGGGTTTCTAATCAAATATTTCTGGGAATATTTACAAATCCCTTAAATCTAGCCAATGATGGCATAATGAAGGATATGTTGTTGGTAGGATAGTGCCCATCCAAAGTAGAAAAACGACCAGTTAAAATAAAATACATCAAAAAATTTTTTCCAGGATAATTTCTATTTGCCTAATGGGTTTTTCCATAAAAAATTATAAAATATTTTAAGAGAGAAAACAGAACATGCAAATGATCCCCATTTTAGTTTTTTTCACCTTTACTAGATGCTAAGCTTTTCTTCCCCCAGCTGTAATATTTCATGATTATAGCAAACATGAAACGTTAAAATGTGTTCCATTGTTTCATTCAAGTGGCAATAGGAAAAAAAAAAAAAAAGAAAGACAATGGTAAAGGCTGACAATATAACCCTTTTAATTTACTGATAGTAGAGGCAAGGCCCAGGAAAGCAACTACCCAAGAAAACCCATTCCCTTAGGGATGTATTATCAATCAATTC